TGGGGCCTCTGTTGGGGGCAGGCTAAGCAAGTCGAACGGACGGAACATTAAAATTTGCCCCAAAGAATTAGTTTCACTGTCAGTCTTGAAACATTTCATCCCACCTTTCCATATTTTGACAACTCCTGGAAGCTGTTGGGTATACACCTTTCTTAATCCTAGCACTCCTCAAAGCAGAGCCGAGGTGCAGGACACCAGCCTTGCTGGAGGTCCCTCCCCTCTGCAGGAGTCTCCCAGCCCCCTCATCGGGGAGTCACATGCATTTCACTCACCCTCAGGAAAACACAAACACCAGTTCCCCTCCCGGCTCACTCTGCAGTTTCTTCCCTCTCACCAAGGCCCAGGGCTGCTGCTTCCCTTTCCCTTCAGTTTTACCAATTACTCTCATTTTCTGTTTTTATCTTTTCAGTGCTTAACCTTTCCTCCTTTATTTTTCTCCATAATAAAACAATACAGACATAAGACTGATGGAGCAATGGCACCAAGTGAGGTCACTTTGAGAGACAGAAAAATTCCTGGAAAGATACATACCACTGAAACTGACTTGAGAAGAAATAGCAAATCGGACTAGACCCATAATAAGCAGTGAGGGAATTCGTTATCACAAAACAACCCACAAAGAAAAGCTCAGGGCTAAATTGTTTCACTAGTGAATTCTACCAAATTTTTATAGAATTAACCCCCAATTCTTCACAAACGCTTCCATAAAACAGAAGAGGAAGAAATGCTTCTCAACTCATTCTTTGAGGCTATTATTACCCTCATACCAATACCAAAGATATCACAAGAAAACTATACAGATTAGTATCTTTTATACATGTAGATGTAAAAATCCTCAACAAAATACCAGCAAACTGAAGCCAGCAACATAGAAAAAATATTACATACCATGACCAAGCGGAGTTTATGCCGGGAATGCAAGGAATATGAGTCAAATGGGATGTGGAAGTCTTGGCATTAAGTCCGGACCGCAGCATTTCCCCAGTATTGCACCACATGCCCGGCTAGCAGGTCTGGGGTCTGTGGGTCAGGGAGGGTGGGAGGGGCCGCAGGAGCAAGGCCACGCCCCCTTCTAGGAGGAGGCGGTGCTCTGCTCTCCCCTGCTTATGGGGACTGAGAAGTGTTCTCTGCTCTTCGTATCTATCTGTCGAGCTGCAAAGATCAGGGACTCACCAACAGTTTCTAGCTTGACGAGGCTTTAGAGACAAATTAGTCTCAGCTCCTATTTTTCAGCTGAGAGAAACTGAGGAGCCCAGAGGCAGAGAGTCTTGCTCACGGTCAGGGAGATGACTTGGGGAGCCGGGGCTGGAGCTCCCACCCCGCACGTCCACTGCTGTCCAGGGGCTCACAGTGGATCCACTTGCCTGGCTGCTCTGTCCACCATGGCTATCAGGGAGGTGATGGTAAAAGGAGTAGCAAATATTTATATGATACTTATCTTGTGCTAGGCAAGGTTTTAAGTGTTTTACATGCATTACCTCATTTAATCTTCATGGGAACCCTACAAGGGAAGGACATCAGTGTTCCCATTTTATGGATGAAAACATGGAGGCAGAGAGAGGTTCAGCAGCTTGACAAGGTCACTCATCTAAGTAAGTGGTGGCAGTCTGGCTCTTTGCACAATTAATCCCCATGCCCTCTTTGAGAGGAGGTAAGGAAATCCTTTTTAAAGTCTGGGGTCGACTATGAAGTGCTCCCCATTGGAAGAGACACTTCTGCACACCTGTAGCACTGCTGGACCATCCTGGTCCAGGGACCTGTCTCCAAGGCTGTGTGATTTACCAAATCCAGAACCGAGCCAACTTTGTAAGATTTTTAGAATCCATTCTCTGATAGGGAGAAGGTGGACCATGGTACTGACTGAGGTAGGGCTGCTTCACCTTCTAGTTCCCGGGCTTCAGCGGGAGGTGTACCACTTGCATACCAATTTCAGGTATGCCAAATACTTCTCCTATTTTGCAGGAAAACTTGAGTTGCACAGCAAAGAAACTTGCCCATAGGCAGGGAGATAACTGGGGGAGTCAGGGGTGGACCTCCTGCCCCCTTTCCATCCAGGGCTCTTTCCCTTTTCCTGAAATTGGTATGCAAAATGTCATGTATCTGAATGTATGGGGGTGCAGATGTCACTAGGGTTGGGGCAGCTGAAGTACTCCCACATTATAAGGCTCCCAAGGGCACCTGTGTCTCGGTCATTGCTTTACATCCCACAGTGCTCTCAGGGGCTTTTCTAGAAGCTCTTCGGAAAAGATCTGTGCACACACAGACAAGGGAATGGGTGAAGCTCCCCCTGCTTGGTGTGTGTGGATGGGCGAGGTGGTGTGTCTTCCACCCTGTGCAGGCGAGGATGGAGAGGGAACAGGGTCTGAGTGCACTGCCAGCCTTGGTAAGTCACCTAGGGTCGCAGGTCCCCACTCAAGCCCCACCAGGACCCAGGACACCACGGCCCCTGGGGAGAACTGAAAGCGGCTCTGCTGCAGGGCCAGAGCTCTTCCTGAATCCCCGATCTGTCGCGCACTTAGGGGCACGTGGCTGCTGCAGGCACTGTTTTCCCTCGCTGTCCACACCCACATCTCATCTCCAGGTAGAAGGGAGAACAGGAGGACAAGGAGCTCTAGGTCTTGAAAATCCTCATGCTTAGAGTTCAAACCAGAGATGAGCTGATGCCTGAACAGGAATCCATACAGTGAATTAAACTCTAAGGGGTTAGCAACGGTGACTGCTCCCTAACCTCTGAAGGGCCCTCTTTAAATGATCCATATGGCATCATGGACCAGTGCCTAGGGGAGGTGGCCTTCCCATGGGGACAGGCAACTGCAACCTAGCCCTTCCTGCCACACCAGTGCCCCCAGGGCACACCCTTAACTGGGGTTTGGTGTAGGTCTAGCCTGGACTCCAGCGGGCACAACAACATATGTTGTTAATCAGAGTATCTGATTAATGACATGGACTGAAACAAGCTGCCTGTGTCCCTCATTAAACCTCCTCCTCTGGCTACCAAAGGGGCAAACAGTAGGTGCTAGTAATTGCAGAATTAATGAACTGTGCCCCCATCCCATTTTGACCTAAAGTGGCTTCATGGTGGCAATACCTTGAAGAGAGACTTTATTTTCTAAATTCACAGAATGTGTAGAGTATGGTGAGGTCAGTACCGTGGGAGTTGCAGGGTAAAATGAAAATAAGTTCATCAGTTTTGTAAGAACTTCTGTGAAAACCTAGTGAAGGTCCATAATGCTTCCTTCACATATGTGTGTGTCCTGTCCCTGGACTGCTGACCTTCTAGAGGGCAGTAAACCCCACATGTGTAGCACCCAGTTGAGTCCTTGACACAGTTGGGATACGGGAAGTTGCTGAATTCATTCATTCACAGTTGCTGAATGAACAAGAGGTTGTGTACACATTGTGTGAAAACATGCAACTAGAGATGTGATCAGTGGATGTGTGGTCAGATTCCTGGGCATTTCTTGTGCACCTGCCCACAGCTGAGAGAGGCTTCAGCGTGGAGGCACTTGCCTTCAGTGCCCGGCACTTGAAGGATGCAGTGTATGAAGTGAGCATGGGCACTGAGGAGGTGTTAGACTGGGTTTGGAGCCACATATCATTGGCTGTGTGCCCGCGGGTAGATGATCCACCTTCCTGGGCATAAGAAGCTAAGAGTGGAGGACAAGCATGCTTACTTCCCCTGTTGGTTTGAGATTGAACAAGATTCTGATGACCAAGTGGATCCCAACATGGCTGGTGCTCAGTACTTTCAGCCTTCCCTGTGGGCCTGTCTCTCTACTTCCCCTGTCCTCATTTTCCTCTTCTGAAAAACAACGGGAAGAGGAGCAGTGACCCTTATGGGTCATTGTGTGGGCGGGTGTGGACAGAACAAGATGTCCTGAGATCACTTGGAGCCGAGGGGCAGGGGCTATGACGTACGTTTACTTTTTTTAAAGGAGGTATTGTATTAGCAAAGGAATGCAAACTAGACACGGCCACTACCAACAAATAAACCCAGCAGGCTTCCGGGTGGCAGGAGCCAGTGTCCATGTTATAAACACAGCTGCAGGGCCACTGGGTCCAGCTGCTGCCCTCAGCCTGATGCTGGCTCCCACCTTGCAGTTCTTTTAACACAGAAGCAAAGTGCCCAGGTGGCTGTCATCCCCCACCCTGTCCCATCTACCCCCAAAGGTAGGTCTGTGACCTGTTTGTCATGGGAGTTCTGTTGTGGGTGATTCAGATCTACAAAAAGCAAACCGGCGCTGGAGGTGGGAGGGGCAGGGGGACCTGGAATGGGTCCCTTTCAGAAACACAGCAATTCTTTAGGGAAATTTGGTCCAAATAAAGTGAAGCCATTGCCGTACAGACACTGAAGGAATGTTAAGGCACCAGTGGTCAGAGCCCAGGCAGGCTGTGATGTCAGGTACCCAGGGAGACTCCCACCCCAGCCTGCCTCCCACCTGCAGGCTGTGAACAGTGTGCCGGCCCGCCCCTCCCAGACATGGCCTGTGAGCCTACCGGAGCGACCCTCATGCGGTCTGGGCGGTGAGTCGTGCACACCTCATTTGATTACGCACGCTGAGCTGTGCATGCCTGCTCCCAGGTTCTGGCTGAAAGTGGGAGAACTGGCGGCGCTGTCCACGTTAGGGGGTGTGGAAGCCAGTACGGATGGAGACGAAGGGCAGAATGGGACATGGGAACTGTGGGCCAGTGCATCCTGGCCTCAGACAGCACCCAGGCTCTGTGGAAGGGAATTTCCATCACGGGTGCCACAGCTATTTCCGGAAGCGACTTTGTGTATGTATGCGTACATCCCCCTACACAACCCGAACAAGCCAACACTCGGTGACCAGAACTTTCGCTGGATGTAGCCTTAATTCACCACCTCCTTTCCCTCACTCAACCCTTCAGTCAGGGTCAGTGGGTGTCCCAGGGAGGCTGCTGTGTGTTATAGGGTTAGCGGACAGAGAAGCCAGGGGAAGCCTGTGCAGGAGCCTGGCCCTGCTGCAGGCGGCTCCTACCATGTCACTCTGCGACTGTGTGGCCCCATACGCGGCCATCCCATTGGAGGGTGCAGCTGGCTGTGGGGTGTCAGGCTGGATGTACCCTCTTCTGTCGATTAGGCTACAAGAGAAAACAAAAAAAACACAGGAGGAAGACTGAATGAAAAGCCAGGCGCCATCAACACTATTTTAATTTCCATTTTGGGGCTCCCTCTCTCTGCACCTGGCCCCAGCTCAGGCCCTTGGAATACACCTCTACTCACCTTCATGTGCACTGAGAGCCAGTCTGTCACTTTCTCCCTTAAAAATGCCTGCAGCCTCTGCCATCCCTGCCACCTGCTGCAGACTGCCATGTCTCCCAGCTCACCCGCTGGCCTCACCGCCACCAGCATCTCCCCTCCCACCCATGACCCACCCCACCACCAGTGTTAGTCCTTGTCACGGGCCCTGCCTGCCTGCACAGCTCTGAGTTGCTCCGTCACCTACAAGCAGAGTCCAGACTTCCAGGCTTGGCCTTCCGGCCTCACACACTTGCCCCAGCTTTCCGCCCCAGCTTTCCTCCCCAGCCTTCAGCGCACACCCATGCTTTTCCTCGGCTCATTCCTTCAGCATGTGTGTGGGTACCTGCTACGTGCCCGCCCGCAGCATGTACACAGAAGCCCAGTCAAGCCTGGTAGGCGCTCTGTGCTCTGCCATCTCTGTTTTGTTCAAGCTCTGGCTTTTTCTTGCCTAAAGTCACTTCTCCTTGCTCTCCACTATCCTCTTCATGGCCAGGTTCAAAGTTCCCAGCCTCTGCTCCTGTCCCTGTCCGGCTTTCTCAGCCCTGCAGGGGATCCCCTTTGCGGGCCAGTCGCTCTGCGTCTGCCGTCATGTGACTGCAGACCATCCTCTGTCTGCTGGCTCCCGAGGCAGCCTTCCTCTTCACAGCCCCCAGCACCTGGCCCATGCCAGAGGAGCCGGGACCTCCGCTGCACTCTCGGACCGCCCTGGACACCCGTATCGCATCCTGCTGGCTCTGTCTGTTTCCACGCTGGCCTCGGTCATGGAGTGCCAGCTCTGCAAGGGCAAGGACTGGGCCTTCTGATCACTGTGCCCACAACTGATACCCACGGGGTGCTGAGCCAATGCTCGTTGATTGAATGAATACAAATGGGTCCTTTGTCTCCTATGGACAAGTTTGCTGAATGTCACAGAGACATCTTTTCCAGACTCTATGGACTGCAGGCCAGGTAAAGGGGGGCGGGGAAGCTTCACTTTGTCGTCAAAAGAGTTGCCTTTTCTCTCCCTGATGAAGGCTCAGGGGTGACGCTGGGTTTAAGGCAGAACGGCAGAGGGCAACAGGAGGCTGGGCTGGTAAGTGGGTGCTCCCTGCACGGCCTCCCGCCCTGTGGGGCTCAGGCCGCCCTCCTGGCAGCTTCTGCGATCCCGGGCCACGTGCTCCCCGCTCCTGAGGGTGGCGCACCCCCACTTGTCAGTTCGGCCTTCAGACAACGGGAGGCATCTCTACGATGGCCACCTTCGTGCCTTCCAGAGATGGAGTAACAAGCCCATAAAAAGTACTTGTGATGGGATCTCGAAATGGGACTGCCTCCGCTGCAGGCTCAGTCGGATCCCCAGAGGCTGAGAGGCAACAGCGAGCAACCAGAACCCCCATCAACCAAGGAGCCCCAAGGAGCCCTGGGCCCCAGGCAGGGCAGGGCCGCACCCCTCGCGAGGCACACGAGGCCGTCGGAGCAGTGCACGGAGGCGGCCCCGGAGGAGGGCGACCCCTGTGCGTGCGGATGATGAGAACGAGGGGCTGCAGACCATCTGTCTGAAAGCTCCTGGGGGCGGCCAGCGGGGGCCAGACGTGGTGCTCCAGGAGGGAGCCAGTGCAGACATGGGGCCTGAACTGTATCCCCACAAAAGCTGTGCTGAAATCCCCCCGGGGCAGAGGTGAAGGGGTGTTAGAGTTTCCTCCCGAAGCACTTACAGCTCCGGGTCACTGAACTGACGCTGTGCCTGAGGACATGGAAGTGCCCTGAGACTTTTTTTTTTTAAGTGACAGGAGAAACTATGTGACTTTCAGGAATCTCATCCAGTAGCAGAAAAAGAACTGGGCCGCCAGGAGAGTCTGAAGGGACAGCAGGGAGAAAAATAAAGGTGTTCTCGGCCTGCTTCCTACGCATTAACGTTCTGTTTAATGAACTCGTCATACACCCAAGACTAGGACATGCGGCCAAGCCTTCTAGCCCTCACCGTGGCCTAAGAGCCCCTCCTGATCTGGCTGTGCTCCCCCCATCTCACCTCCTGCACCTCCAAGCCCCCTCACTCTGGCGCATGAACTTCTATTCCTCTCTGACAGTCATGCTCTCCCTCACTGCAGGGCTTTTGCACATGCTGTTCTTCTGTCTGCTCCCACAGTTCCTACTCATCCTTTAGAACAATTCACAACCTAGGCCCCTCCACTGGGAAGCCCTCCCAGGTGCCCCAGGCACCTGCACCCCATTCTCTATCACAGACCCTCCTTGACTGTGCAGACTTGCCAAGAGTAATGGGTGTATCACCCATTACACTGCACACTCTCCTCTATCAGGGCCACACAGCACATGCTCAGCAATAATGGCCAGGTGAATTCTTATGATTGGTTGGACCACAGCACTAGCCTGACCCTGACCACACGTTGGGACTTTCTGTCTTTCCAATTTTCCATTCCTCCTGCCAGACTTGCATGAGGAACCCCCTCCCACTGTATGAGGACCTGGCCATCCCACCCTGCTGCTGCCCATCCCTCCAGGGACACCATGCAGGGGGCGGAATGTGGCTCTTTGCAATCACAGTCCATAGCTCTCACAAGACACATGTAGACACACACTTTCTCTCTGATGAGCGCATCATTACACTGTTTAAGAATATGCTGGCGGCAATTCAGGCATACAATTCTAGGCACATAGGTGGTTCTCAGCCCATCTGAGGTGAGGGAGATTGCTCATCGCACAGGCATGGCTGGGAGGCTGGTGTAGAGCCCTGGCCCTTACGGGCACAGGGTGGGTGGGTGAGACAAGGCGGAGAGAGGAGAGGGCTAAGAAGGTGGCAGGAGGGAGGAGCAAAGACACACGCCCCCTCCCCGCTCCCACCCCTGCTCCCAGGGCGCAGCCCCGCCTGCCTGCTGCAAGTGAGAGTTCCGCCTTCTCCCTGCACTGTCTGCTGCTCATCTCCGATACTCAACATCATTCAATAATTAAGGGTGCCACATGCCTCAGTTGCCCTGTTTTGACCCTTAGGGGAATTCCCCCCAAGTTTGGCACAAATTCAGTAGAAGAACCAAAATAGTGCCAAGTGTAGCACAACAGAGCCCAATCTCTGTTTTACTGGGACCGTGCCTCTGTGGTGAAGCCGAGCACTGACCCGGTGGTCACCTGGGGTGTGTGGCTGCATTTACCAGCAGCGGTGAGGCCTCTACCTGTGCTAATACAGCTAAGGTGTTTACTTTCCCAAGAGCTGTGAAAGAGCGTGACGCTTTCTGAATCTTACCTTGGAGAGATGGGCCCACACAGGGCAACACAGCAATTTGTAAAGATATTTCCATAGCTGTAGGGATTGTAATTTTCTTTACCCCTTTTATTTGACCAAGATCCTTTAATCTGAAAGAACAGAATACTCGCTTAACACAACATCCTTTAGGCCAATGCCACAGTGTAGGGGAACTGGGCCCCGAGAAGCCCACGAAGAATGTGAATCAGCTTTGCCCATTTCGTCAGCAGGAGAAGCTGAGATACTTTCCTCAAAGAAAACTAGGATCTGCCCCAAACTTGGAAATATCCTCTAACAGCAGGTCATGCATATTAGGGAGAAAGTCACACTCTCTGGGGATAATAATCTCATTTCTATTATATAATACTAAAAGGCCAGCTCACACAGCCAGGGGAAATTATTTTCATACTCAGATTTAGTGTGCTAAGTAGTAACTAAATGAATGGTTGCCAAAAGTTAATTGCCAATTTTTAGCCTGCCTGAATTCAGCCTTATAATGTTGCCAAAATAATTTTGCAAATTCTAATATTCATATTACCAAATACAAATAACTGTATTAATATTCTCTTAACTCATGGATCTCACTGGCACCAATTTCATCAAGCCTTTAAAGCAATCTGATTCTGAGACACTTAATTTATGTACTGGGATAGCCTTCTGTCAGAACCTAAATATTCAGAGCAAAAATGTTATGAAGCAACATTTTCTGACATTACATTTCCCCTTTTTCTACCTCCTGTCCACCTAGTATAATCCTGGACAAAAAGTTAAAGTGTGGGTCAGGGCGATCTCCAAAAAAGAAATGGAGCCATTCACTATGAAAGGCAAACACGTGCACTCTCTCTGGGCTGTCTGCCTGCTAGGGTCTCTCTCTGGGGAGGTGGGACAAGTTGCTCACACAATTATCAAAAAGGAAGAGAACAGACTGTCCTCAGGGCTTGGACTTGGGTGTCACTTGGTGGATCTCATTATCTAACTGACATGGGCAGAAAAAGAGGTAATTCTGAGAATCCCATGGGAGAAACACGGACCCTGATGGAGCAAAATCCTTCCGTGGCACATTTGCTCCCAAGGGCCCACGTCTGGAGCAGGGAGTGAGGAAGAGCCTGGCCCCAAACCCTTCTCTCCTCTTCCCCTCCACTGCTGAACCCCCAGGCACACCCCAGGCCCCATGCTGCCAGGAACTTACGTCTTCATTTGTCGTCTGGTTGGAGCTGATCAGGTACGTGTGGAAACCCGAGAGCCCGACAATAGACCAGACGGAGAAGAAGCACACCACGGCCTCCAGCACGGTGACCTGGAGTCAAGGAGGCCAACAGGGAGGGCGGGAAAGCTCGGTGTCCCCCAGGAGCTGGGAAGGAATGAGGTTTGGACAGGCGACACCCACAGGCTCTCCCTCCAGCCTCCGGCAGCTGTCTAGGCCTCTCCCTAGCCAGGGGGAGGCCTTCAAAGCAGGCGCTTCGCCCCTTTCTCTGTGCCCTGCACCTACTCCTGCTCAGTCAACGGCCAGTGGGCTCCCTGAATGTCGCTTGTTTACTTTTCCATGGGTCTGCTCTTGGGACGTAGTTCCTCTGACGCCCTGCCCACCAGCCATCACCTTTTCCCCGCTGCTTACTGTGCAGTGACATGGCGAAGCCAGGCTGCACGCAGGCCGGAGTTGGCAGCACCCAAGCCTTGGATGGAAGGACCTGGTACCAGATATCACTTCAGTCTCTGACTCTAGTTTTGGCTTCTGAATGCTGAGGACTGTGTCCCAACAGATTTCTCTCCTGGATGGAAGTTAAGGCTGTGAGTAATTTGTCACATTAGCAACAGTTGTGTGTTGGGCTGACTGGGCACCTATGGCTGCAGGTGTGGGATCTATTTCCATGGCTTTCTCTGTCCCTGGATGGCCCTTTCACCCACTGGTGCCTGCCCACCCTGACCTGTGGGTGGGCCTCTGAACCAGTGGGGACATTTTGTGGAGTGGCATTACAGTGAGAGGTATTTTTACTTAGAGGACCTTTTCCCGGCTCCTCAGCCAATCCGACATATAAGGCTGTTCTCAGCTATTTGTGAGCAACTGGGAAACCCGGAGGCGCACCAGACATTGAGTGACAGGAAGTCTAGGATTCTACAAGATGTGCTCTAACAAAAGGAGAACAGGCGTGGCATTATTCAATAGATGTGATAACTTAACCAAGAGCGTGGCAATTTGAAAAGATTAGAGAATTTTTCTGTCCCACAAATGTTTATAAAATTCTATTTACAAGATACAGATGTTTCTCAGGAAAAAAGACATTCATCACAGGCTTGAAAATTTAAATATACATCATGCAAACCCCATCGATAAATTACAGGCCAGACAGAGTAAATACTCATACTTTCCTAAGGCTTCCAGGGGTGGAAGCCGTAGATCATACTGTAATACATCACCATTGATTTTTTTCAGATTGGAATGTAATTCACCATTAGACCAGAGAAGTGGATGCATTATTCAGTGCAGTGCAAGATCTGCCTCATCATTATTAACAAATGCCATTGTCAGAGCACCTGGAGCAGATTCCGAAACAGGGTGCTGTTTTGTTGTGTATGCCGCTGACTTTCAACATCAGGATAAAACACTGTGTCTGCTCTTGGAGATGTAGAAAAATGCTTTACTTTTCTACCTCAAGCTTTTAGAAAAGCACCACCCTGAAACTAAAAGGACATATGAAGAGAAGAGTGTTCCTCTGCCAGCCAGCTAATGAAAACAGCCAGAGGGGCCAGGGTCTGACAGATCACCAGCGCAGGGTGCTGCGAGCTGGCCCTGCCTACTCCCCCAGGAGGATGGGGCTGAGCAAAGAGAGGAGCAGCTCAATCTCGAGAACAGGAAATCAGGATGGTGTTTGGGAGAAGTGGGTTCGTGTGGATGTGCAGGGAGGATTGGTGGGGGAAGAGATGCACAAAAGCTGCCTCTGGTGTGGGCAGCCCCTTCATTTCTCCCACTTTACCCCGGTGGGCCTGTGGCTATGGGGGGAGGCCTCAAGTGCACACGAGGACACACAGACGGTGGCCCCTGCAGCAAAGACGGTCCTCTCAATCCCCTTTCCACAGGTCAGGGCTCACAGATAGCCCTGGTCCTACCATACCCCGACCACAGAGAGGACAGACTGGAGAGGCAACCCATGTGTGAGTGTGGATAGAGTGAAGGTTCTGGTGGCTGGGATTCTCACCTGGCCCTGGTCGGCTAGCTCACTACACATGTGTGGGCAATACATCATTATTGACTCTATATAGAGTGCCTTGGGTGACACGGGGACAAGGCTGCAGGAGAGCAGAGACAAGACTGGAGGGGTGGCAGCACCGAGGACAGAGACTGACGGCTGTGTGGGCAGAGACGCCCAGAGGCAGAGACTGGCCTGCTGCATGCAGACTCGCTCTGAGTGGATGGGATTCTAGTGATTGACCTGCCACTGTGGGAATGAAGTTGGGTATAAACCCTTTCACCCCAAGAATGTCCCATGTCATTTCTTTGGTCTCATTGAATCCATATTGAACTTGCCTGGGGCTGAAACCCATTGGCAAGACAGCGAGTCATGCCCACAGTGGTCTGAAAGCAGAGGTGAATGGAGACCAGGGAAAATAAGGAGGTAAGCAGTGGGAAGACTGAGTAGAGGAAAACTAGGTTGTGGAGAGGGAGGTGACATTGGCAATGGATCTGCACAAGCGGGAAGGAAAAGACGAGATCAAAAGACCAACGAGGAGATGACACGAGAAAGAGAAACAGGAAATGGTCAAGGGTGGAACCAAGAATAAGGAAGAGATGCAAAAGATTTATTTACTGAATAATACATGCAGGGCTGAACTTCTATCTCAGAAATACTTAGATGTCACCAAAAGTTTACAATCCAGGTAGAATGATGGTGAGGTCAAAAGACACATACCATCCTACGTGTGAATGGTGTAAAACTAGCAGATGTAAAAGCAGAGGAAGATCAAGGCACGTTAAGGGGCTGCTGCCCACTTTCTGGCTGCTGTTCCATTTGCAATGCTACTTAACAACTATTACCCCCAAAAGAAAGCATTGTTACCAGAGGACGTGGAATTTTAAAGGTTTGTAACACCAAAAAAAGTTCAGTTTTCTATATTAGTATCTTATGTGCTCCAGAAACAGTTTAAAAATAGCAGAACATGGTTTCGCTGCTAGCTCACAGCTGTGTCAAAATCACATGAATTTAAGGTAGGTTGCAGCCCACTTCCCTTTCTGCCCCTCACAGCAGCTGCTGCTCCCACAGTATGTCTGAAGAAATCATCACCATTCGTAACAATGACTGGCGTCTCTGGCTGTGTGTCAGGTACTGTTCCAAAGGCTTCATGTGGATTAACTCGATCCTCAGCCCAATCCCATGAGAAGTGCAATTCCCACTTAACCAACAGGGAAACTACGGCAGAAAGTAGTTAGTAATTTGCTTAAGAAATAGCAGAGCTAGGTTTGAATCCTGGAAGTGAGGCTCCACCAATACATCAGGAAAGCGTGAGTTGGCTCCTTCCCCTGTTCTTGCTGAGGGGCAGACAGGTAGCTCTAGGCAGCCTGCAACCTCTGCTGGGGCTGGAGGGGACCCTCTTGTTTCAGGGACTTGGGAACTGATGGCAGCTGAAGTAGTCATTTTCCCTTCAAACTCATTCTCAGACTGAGGGACACATATCTGAACAACACATTCCTCTTCCTGACTTGATAGTAGATGTTGAGAATATCTATGCCATAACAAGTTTAAGAAATATAAATTTCTCTGAAATGTATCATAACCCATTTACTGATATTTTTAAGAAGAGAAATGAGAGGAAATATGCCAACTCCTCTAGGAGCCAATTTCAAAAGCAATTGGATGTTTATTGCATCTGAGATGGGTTCCAAATTATAGCAGTTAGCACTGACAGCCTTTGTCTGTCTCCCTCCACCCTCCGAAAAGGCAGGGAGCCCCCTGTGGCCAGGGTGTGGCTCTAAATCCCCCTGCAGCCCCTAGACTAAGATGCACATTGAGGTCCTCACTAGATGCTACAGAACTACCGAGACACTCTGGGGGCAGACATCCCTGCCCGGAGTTTCCTTGTGATCCCAGAGGGCTGCTGCGCTCCCAGCCCTGTGCTTGGGACAGAAGAGGGTGGGGAAGGATGAGGTCCCCGCCCAAAAGGAGTGGGCTTTGTTTGCCCAGGGGAAGGTAAGCAAGGGAAGCAGGCCTTGCAGGGACGTGGAAAGAGTGTGGGCAGAATGCGGAGGGCACCTCACTATCTGGAGGATCATAAAACGTGAGAGATCGTGGAACCAAAAGTTTTTAACCTTTTTGGGTTCCTACTCTCTTCTTAGAAAAAATGCACACAAATACATTTTTTCTTACACTTTCAGGTCTAAAAAATCCCCTGATGCCTTTCCATGTACATGCGTGGATGCCAAGATGTCCTGATTTATTTTAATTCCTTAATTATACAGGTAGGAATTATACAGACCTAGGACTTGGTCTCCAGACATCTAGGAGAGAAAGAACCCTCCTCAAGTCCCCAAGGCATGGCAGTGTCACATGAGGGACATAATCTGGGACCTCAGAGCTCACAGCAGTGAGGCTGAGACTGACTGTGACATCCAACCCTGTTCATCAGTCCTATAGCCCTCGAGCCTCCACCGGGCGAAGAGCTGTCTCTGTTTATATGTCATTGCCCATCTTTCCACATTCCAGGCATCAGGCTGGCAACAGGATTTTTTGCCAAGTGCCAAATCCAGGTAATAGTTTATTTTTTTTTTAAATCTGTATTTCATGTGGGTTTCCTCTACCCAAATCCTCCAGATTCCAGAAGGCCAGGGAATGCTAAGTCCAGGCTCTGTCTCAGGCCCTTCCCTTCATAAGCCCCAGGCTTAGGAGGCCCTGAGTGTTGCCCGGTGTTGAGGGGCACTTCTCTGTGGTCCCCCAGTCCTCCCACATTTATTCTGCTTCAGGTCTCTGTATTGGGTTCTGGTGTTTACAATAGAAGAAACAGATGTTGTTGGTAACCATTTCTTCTTTTCTTTGTAAAAATTACAGTATAATAGTCAATGCTCTTACAGGATGAGCTCTGATAGAGCAGATGTCAGGGATATTTCCCTTTGTTCTCTCGATTGAGTGTCACATCAGCATTTCATGCCTTTAGATGTTTAGTCTCAGGAACTTGTCAGCATATTTTCCTGATAAATTAGATGACCCTACAGTCCACAGATGCAGGTTGAGCCTCCGCCACCTGCGTGGCCGTCCCTGTGTCAGGGGCGGGGACTGCTACATGACAGACACGGAAGATGAAGTCA